GATTATTTTGCCTTTTTTTTCATCAATTATTTCTATTATGCAACATCGGTAATTAATTTAAACATTTTTAACTTACAGTAAATTCAATTCTAAAACTTTTTTCCTCTTCAATATTCTTCCAAAATGCATAGTAAAAACTCGGATAAAGTAGGTATTTTTTTAAACATTTTTGAAATTTTGAAAATATTCCGGACCTCGCCCAGATCTAGGGATCTACACTTTTATTATGTGAGTTGTACTGAAAGTAATCCAGAAAAAATTTGCTAGCCCCCTCTCACATCCACCTCAAAACAGATCCGCCCTGGTCTACAACATAAATTCACATTAAATCACATTTTCTAAGTAACTTTGGTATAATACCACCCCTGGAGGTACAGAATTTATAAGACTAAATTTGTTTATTTCTTTTTGTGCCGTTCGTAACAAATAAATTTTATAAATAAGGCGAACGATAACCCTAATGCTATAAAAAATACAACGACGACAGTTGAAATGACACAAATTATTTGTTGTTAACAATATTTCATAATAACTTGCCCCACTGGAGCCAATATTTATCACTTTGATTAACCTCTCTAAGATGTATGTAAGAATTTTTCCTGTTTTCGTTTCATCAACTATTCAAAGCTTTAGCTTAATGGTACACGTTTCTCATGCTAATGTGCACCTATTCCTTCTTTTTATCTTCATTAATATTGTTAAGCCAGAGCTAGATTTCGTTTCTTTTACCATTCCGAATGACCTCTCATCAAAATATGAAATATCCATCAAAAGTCAACGTCCAAATCATTACCAACGAAGGTTTGTTTATTGCATTTTTTTTTTATAATAACATCGTCTGCCTCTGTCCCCCGTAGATGTCAATAAACTTCGCAAACAAGTTTCAGATAGAATTTAATTTATATTAAAATTGTTGCACTGGGCGATATGTTACGTTTTTATCTCTATGTTTGCTTTTTATCCAGTCAAAAGTGTTGAGACGTTAAATTTTAGGAACTCTTGATATGCGATAGTACAGTTATACAGGAAATGTCAAATTGATCTTTTTTTTGTGAGGTATTTCTTTGGATTTAGCAAATATTATTCTCCTTGCCTGTCACACTTTTGAATGTATCCTTGTGTTCAATCTGGTAAATCTACGACCTTTCGTGTATCGCGATTTTGTCTTTCCAAAAGTTCCCTATATGTAAACTAAACTAAGGTTAATATCTTGGAATATTTTTCCAGGGTCGCAAACAAGTTGACAAATTTTCGTGTATCTTAACTTTTATTATAGCGAAGATCAAAGTGCGTTGTCGAAAGAACAGCCTAACTCTTCTGCATTCCTGATAAAATGAACGGGGTTTAATCAATCATTAGGCGTAACCAAAGAACACTGGTCCTGTGGCCCCTTTCTTGTCTGGATACTCATATACCTTCTTGCATTTCTGTACTTCTAATATAGTTTGTTAGATGTCAATTGACCACTGCAATTATGGATTTTTTAGATATCAAGTTAGTTAATTTGAATTAATTCATTGGAATTTTTTAATAACCATTTCTGTGCGGTTGATATTTTAATTCTCATTAAGACTAAACGAATGTAAGGAGGTCATGCTTTAATTAACGATAATAATTGTTTAGTTATCGTAATTGGATGATAGTATTTTCGTTATTTTAACGTCTCTTTTTTTATTGGCGCAAGCAGGGCAGAAATCTCAGGGATTTTCGTAAGATCGTGTTGTGGTTCCCCATCATGTTATGGCGTAACGAATGCGTTTTCACTTAGTTCATAATATCCAGCGCAATAAAAATGAAAATATGTACATTGCCAGATTTTTAAATGATTTGTTAACAATGCACGTAGCCTACTTCTTATGTAAGTGGTTTGTATGTGATTTATTGTAACGATCTTTCGGTTCGATTTATTTAGAAAATAGTGTTTTAATGAAAAATTTGAAAAAAGGTTTAATTATCTCCAAAGTGCTGGTAGATGTGAAAACTCATTACGGTGTACAGAGAGCGTGTAGCTGAGACTGTTCGTAAAGTCAACTCAAGTGAATACTGCGTTTTTTCGGAACACCCGTTATTTATTACAATTATTTCCTGATAAATAATGATAAAATCGTTTTTTTTGTAGAGTAATTTTTTTTATTTCTTTTTTCATTTGTCCTTGTTTGTATCAGGTTTTTTATGTCAGTAACACTAAAATCCCTAGATTAAACCAATTGGGTCAAGAATGAATCGAAAACCTTCCGCGGGCAGGTAAAAACCCACGTTCGAATAAAAATTTCCTATTTGAATTTTTTGTAGGAGTAAACACGTTTAGTTTTTATGACGTTTACATCATTTTTTCATTCATGAGATCTATAGGACTTCCCTAAAATTTATTGATTTATTCTCAGAGAAATTGTCTATAAATTTTCAAGGCTAGCGCGACGTACTAATTTATTTAATGAAGCTTTTGTTTATATTCACCACGTTTTTGAAGAAGGGTTATTAGGTGTTAACTCACAGCAAAATTTTTATGGTCAGTCACCGGGTCGGTAGCCTAAACGTTTTTTCAGCAATTCGCGTCGGTGTGGTGCGGCTATACAGGGTGTAAGAAGTATGACTGCCTTCAGCATGATATAAATGCAGTGTTCAAAGTACAGCGAGTATTAATATTGGGGAGTTTCATCACAACGTGACAACAGCGCTACACAGCTGATGCACACCACGTGTGCGCGCGGCAGACTTGTCCTACGGAAAAAATGTAAACAACTATTATTATGAAACATTTAGTACAAAAAAAGTACAAAACAAACTACCACCACAGACAAAATGGCTTGGCGATAAGCTATATTGTCTGTGCTACAACATACGTTCAAAATATCCACCACCATTTTCAGAAGAAAAGGATATAGTGGTACGCAAAAAATACTCAAACACGGTCCAATTCCAGATACCAACTGAATTGCGTGTTGTTGGACAGCTTAGACATCGTATTATCTGCCGCGCCGTTGTCACATTGCTCGATATGAAGTTTATCGAACTTTAAATTTATTACAATGCTAATTATTTTTTAGAATTAAGCATAAAGTTCAAAAAAGTGATAAACATTGTATTTTATGGTGTTCTATGCACGCAGTTATCAATATTGCATCAACTTGGAGATTTTGATAATTCGGAAATCGTTATAAATGTTTATTTTAATGTATCCTATCGTCTGTTAAAATTAAGGCAGTCAAACTTCTAACACCCTGTATAAACAAATAAATACAAAAGGCGAAAATTGTATTTTGGGTGACTCATATTTGCATTATCACAACTCGTAGATGTGTCAATAACAGATATACTTTATTGAAGTAATAAACGATCTATGTCAGTAGGTACTCACTTGCGATAATAATGATGGTTAAAAAAATGACTCACCTGCGTAGCTTCAGAGATAAGGCCTTGTGTTTTAAAAGTTGCATATTCTTATTTTATTCTCACTTTTCAAATAAATCTTTAACTTCTTACTGAACCTTAACAGACATTGACCTCGTTTTACGCAGATGGCATTAAATAATTTATGAAACAGTAGCTTTTATGGCTGGATTTTATCCTTTCCTGGGATTTGTTTTTTTCGTTGTGGGACAATATCGACATAAATTTTGGTTTACTGCTAATTTCATCTGTATGTTGTAATTATCTTTAGGGTGTTTAATAACTAATTATCTGTTAAGCAATAAATCGGTATCCTTTTTAAACTTGCACATTTTTATTATTGCTAATATAAGTTTCTTAGAGGTTATCCTTCTGAGATTTAACGACGCTTTTAGCTTAAGTGTGACACCAACTTCGAAGTCGTAATCAACCGGTAAAGAAAACCTGCAATTTTAATTATAAACCTTTACTTCAGTCAGCTTGCGCGTTGCGGGCTCAGTCGGAATAAAAATAAAATTTTATGCAAACATCTTGCATCAAACTTCGGTCTTTGTTGCGAAAGCAGGTTTGACATTGCACAAAAGCTGTTAAACGGAGGCGGATATATTTCGAATTACTTGGAGAAGAATGACTACACCAAGAAAACAATTTAGATTAATAAATAGTTTGTTGAAATTAAACGATTTAATTCGAGAATTATGTTGAAATTAATTAAAATGTTTGTTTACATAAAGGGTGTTAGTAAGTACTTAGATAAACTTCAATGATTTCAAAGGGTTGTACAAACATGGTTCCACAAATAAAAATTTTTGGAGGGTGTCGAAATGAAAAAAAAAAATGTCTTTAAAATATATCTCAAGTGGTTAATGATTTATCTGCCAATGGCGGAAGTTAATTTCACTAAAAATTCTAGAATTTCGACGCCAGCGGCCAAACATGAACTAAAAATAATTCGTTAATTTAGATTAAGACTCTTATTAGATTAAATTGTCACACCATCCTGTATTAAAGGTTTTTTAAATAATTAATAATTTGTTTAATTGTCGTAAGTTTATCTGTAATATACTTATATCGAAATTTTATGATTTCCCGGTTACTTGCAACGAAACAGTTCAGATTAGTCATAAAGTCGTCAAGATAAAGCAGAACAAATGTCATTTATACTTGTTTGTTTTTAACAATGTACCACACATTCTGCCCGTAATTTATTCTCCAATAAACGTCAATAGATACATCATCCTACTGCTTTTGAAAAAATGTGTGATCCATTCTTGTTTTATTAGTACTTTCTGAAGAGATATACAACCTCTTCCGTTTGTGTCTTTTATTTTTATAGTCCGCATCATATAGTCGTTGATAATATCAGTGTTTTACTGGTTGCCTGGTCGAGGGGGCAAATTTGAAAACGCCTGGATATTATTCCAAACCCACTTATCGTCGACTGATACAGGCGTGTATAAAAGGACGCTATTTTGATATAGTATCAATGAATAACATTCTTCTAAAAATATCTGCGGCACAAGGTTTGGCCACCAATGATACCGGTGTAGATATTGATGGTTAATTCTTGAAAAAAAAAATAGAAAATGATAATAATAACTAGAAAAAAATTGGAAAACAAATAACCATTTATTCACTTAATGCTTCAACATAACTAAACATAACAAGTAGATTTATATGTGTACTTGATTAAAAAATACATTGTTAATGGTACGTATAATAAATAAAACGGTATTTTAATGTGTACAATTGTCATTTCCAAATTTACTAATTATTATTTACAAACGCAATCTGCATAATGTGCCTAACCTATTTGTAAAATTGCTGTGCATAATTTTCCAATTGGCGCTGTGAAATATTTCGTCGAGTTTTAGTATTGCCTTATTTATAGCTCGTATAAATAAAACACTCTAAGTGACATTTCAGACATGTTCAATAGCATAACAGTCGTATAACAGTCCAAATATAAACTACGAAAAGGAGGATAATCGTAAAATTTAGAACGATATTTGTTGTACTACGTGTTTTTCATTAAAGAAACTAGTAAATCCTATTGCTTCTCGGGTCAGTGTCTGTTGTTAGTTTATTTTGAAGTTGGACAGAACGAATAGTACAACAATATTATAAGGATAAAGTAGAAAAAACTACTGGAACCGTTAAACACTGGGAAATAAATAATAAGTTCAGTTAAACTCAGTGCTAGAATAAAAACATCCGTATGAGCATTTTAAAAATCACTCTCAAGAGGGGCTTGCGTCCTCAATTGGGTATCAAGATCCGACGTATCCGAGTCAACGACAACGCGGGAAGCACGCCTGCCCTCTGAAGAATCCGACTTCCTCCTCCTCCTCTTCCTCTTCGGTCTACCTTTCTTTGAAACGTCAGGGTTGCTGCCGCTCTGCCTGGAATTCAAACTGTGCATGCTTCCAGACAGGTTCTGATACGACGAATCCAGCCTAGGGAGTAACAACGCCTCGTTGTAAGAAGGCGGTCTCTGGACTTCCCTCGGATCGGGCGCGTTTCTATTTTCCTCTTCCCTTCTCTCCCTTTGAAGTCTATGCATTCTCTCCAGGGCTTCCCTCTCTTGAGCCCTGCGCGTTTCTTCGATCTCCCTCAGGCGGCTCTCTTTGATCTGATGCATCTTTCTCATGGCTACCACCGCTACTAGTAGGAGTACCATTGTCACAATGACGCCTACAGAGTACCACCAGAGGTGGTCCTTTGACTGAGGTGTGGGATACCATTCATCCTGGCAAGCCTCGTGCCAGGCCTTACCCTCGTAGCGTTCTGGAGAGTCGCATATCAACCTGTCAACTCTCTCGTTGTATTCGATCAACCACTCGAACATGCTTTTTAATTTTGGACAGTCGCATCTCCACTGGTTGTCGTCGACTTTTACGTAGAGGGCTTGCGGGAAAAAGCTTGGATCGATGGTGGTCAGTCGGTTGCCAGATAGATTTATGTGTCTTAAGTAAAACATTTGTTCGAACGTGTGGTTGTTGATGGTCTTTATTCTACAACCGCTTACGTCCAAGTACACCAAACGATCAGCTGTCCAGCCGTCTGGCAACGAGGACAAGAAGTTTCTTGCTAGAGATAGTTCTATCAGCTTAGGCAAATTCCCTAGACTAAATCTGTTTATAGCGTAGATTTCACAGTAACTAACGTCTAAGGTTTTTAGGGATGTGCTAGTAATACTGTCGATGGAGTTAATGTAGTTGTGGGAAAGGTTCAGCGTTATGAGGGCGATAGTGGATAAAAAAGTTTTTTCGCTTAGGACTGTGAGCTTGTTCAGGGATAAGTCAATGATATTAACGTTATCAAGGCCACGGAATGCATTATCTTGGATAACGGATATAGCATTGTACGACAAATTCAGTTTTAATAAGTTCGGAAAGTTGGTGAAGCTTCTATCTGGAATTTCCCTTAAAAAGTTCCCTTGTAAGTTGAGGAACGTAAGTGCTCTCAAGTTTCCTGTAGGGACGATTTCCAGCGTACAACCAGACAGGTCTAAATACAATAAACTTTCCGAGTTACATGAAATTTTTTTAAGGTAGTCGTTGTTCTTTAAAATGAGGGTTTCCAACAGGGGTAGGGCTTGGAACACATGATCGCCGATGTACTGTAAGTCACATCCACTCAAGTCTATATACTTTACGTTGCTCAGTTCGAAAGAATCGTTTATAATACGTATCGGGTTGTCTGTCATGTGCAATTCTTTTAAATTCGGCAAACTTTTGAATGTCTGCACCGGGACCGACCTCATCGAGCAGTTGTTTAATTTGAGAATTTCCATGGACGGTATTACCAAGTGACTGGAATACTGCGGAATGCTTCTGAGAGCGTTGTTGGAGATGTCCAGGTATGTCAGTATTTTAAGGTAACCAAACGTAGCGGAATGGATGTCTTTCCAGTCGTGGAACTGGTTGTAACTCAAGTCCAGCCGTTCCAGGTTCTCCAGTCCCGCAAAATCCGAGTGGCCGAGCGTCGATATCTTGTTGTTGGATATATTCAGGTATTTCAGGCTTTGGAAATCCCGCAAACCTTCAGGAAAACTTTGGAAGCTGTTGTAGGATAAATCCAAACTGATTACCTGAAAATAAATCAATAGTTTTTACTGGGGCTTATGCATGTATTAAACTTAGAACTTCGCCGTCCTAGCTCAGATTATAGGAAGGAGCTTTACAAACTTTATACGAAGGTGTTGCACCACGTAAATTTGTATTAACTAAATACAGCGCATTTTTGGAGGCGCAAAGTTCACAAGGATTAAAGATGATTTATCCTTCCTCGAAGTTTAGATTCCGGCTTTATTTATATTCATTGCTTGAAGTTGTAAAATTGTGTTTGATTTTTACGTTGACGTGATGCAACATCCTCATCCTGTATATATTTTACCTAGAGAATGATTTACGATGCAACGTTATTAGGTTAAAATTACTATTTTTTTTATCGTTTGTAAGTAAAGCGATAGTTATCGCGATAGAATCTTCGATCGGAGACGGTGAAGAAATTTTAGAAATCTACAGAAAGAAAGAGAAATCCGCACTTTCGTTTGTACCATAAAATGTCAAAGAAAAGTAACTGTTGTATCGTAAAGAGCCATGACACACTAAGATCTACCCTTTTTAAAAACTACTTTTTTTTACGTGCTTGTAAAAATAGTTTTTGAAACCCTTATTTGAAAAATATTAATCAGAACGTTATTAAAAGTAATTATTAGCCCAGTTACTGTAGCTGGAAACATAGTAATACCTCCGATTTTTTTATAACTGCATCGATTTTTCTCAAAATTTAGAATTAGGCTCATCTTACCCCTCACTTCAAAACTTATATATGCGCTAGGTGTGCTTTTTGTTCTTAAGGGGTGAAAACCACCCCTTATCGGAAAAAAAAGAAAAATACAAATTTAAGCATTTTATGTAATCAAATCTTTTTTATTTATGCAGTATGAGTAATTTCATGTGCTATCTAACATGAAACTTAATATGTATACCAAATTTTCAACCCGGAAAAACCTTTAAAAATCACCCCTTTGGATGAAAATAATATTAAAAAAACATTTCAACCCTTGAAAAATACACCTTCTTTCGAAAATCAAATAAAGAAGTATTATTGAAAGAGTAGAAACATTTTAAATGTGCATTCGTATTAAATAAACATTTATTCCCTTCTTATAAAATAATTTTGAATTGATTGCAACTTCTGAACCCTTAAAAATTACCCCAGACACAGACAGAGACACAGACATAGACATAGACAGTGACATAGACACAGACACAGACATCGACATCGACACCGACACAGACACAGACATTTTATAAATTTTTATTTTCGTTTTTAATAAAAATAAATACAAAAAAACATTATAATTATATGTAAATGATTATTCGTCGTCCTCTTCGATGATTGGAGGAGAATTTAGGCAGGTGTCGCCGGAGCATGTTCCACATGTCGAATTGCAAAATAAACCGAGCTTCCGGCAGCCACAATTTGCTCCGCAATCTTTTTTGCAATTGCAAAAAATCATTTTCAGCAATACTTCCGGAGCAGACAAACTACGCATTATTATTGGTTCCACTAAATCCTTTTTTAACCATCCCCAGTTCGTTATATTAATATGTTAATATACACATACTAAATACGTATATATACCAAAAAGATCTAAATGCTTTAAAATCCTTGTTTTACATAAATTTTCTTAAAATTATCACCTACACACGTGTTTATTTTTTTGACGATAATTTTCTTACTTTTTAAGATTTTTAATCGCACAAAGGCTCATTTTGCAGGGAATTGTAAGGGCTACGTGAACAGTTGAGTTGATCTTTTTTAAGCCCTTCATTTTTAAGTTTGAAGGGTTTAAAGGGCCCGAAAAGGGTGGTTCTCTCATTCATATGTTAAACAAAAAAGGCGATATCTCGATTAATATTAATTTTAGAGAAATAAAAAATTTAAGCAAAATCTTCAGCAAAAATAAAGCTAAACTTTTTTACTCTTGTATTTTTTTCGTACACCCTTTAATTTTTAAGTTACAGCGTAAAAATCGATTTTTTTTCAAAAATTTGAAAAATTAACATTTTCAAAAATTAAGTTTTTTTCGAAATCATGCTTTGTAAGCGAGCCAAAGACCCAGAACATATTTCTAGAACATAAATGAAGAAATCTGTGAGTGGATTGCATTTAATTTTAATTCTGTCGCCAAAGGCACTGATTTGTTTATTAATTTTTTTTAAAAAAAAAATGGTTTTGGCGTTATTTAACGTTAACTGGTTCCAATTTAGTTTTTAGCTAACATATAATAATGTTTAAAAATCCATAACTCGATTTATAGTGCAATTAGAGAAAAACAAAATAATGCCATTAGATTTATTTTTTTATTACTTTTCATTTTGTTCCTTACCACTTTTTCGTTAAATCCAATGATTTCAGAGTTATTTGCAAAAACTGTCCGAAAACAAGCACTTTTTCACAAAAAAATCAACATTTTCAATGACGAATTACTCGGAAAGTATTGGATTATCCAAAAAACTTTATATAACATTTGCTACTTAAAATTGACTCCTCTATCGATTCCTGTGGTTATTTTGGGCATAAAAATTTCCACCCCCAGGGCAAAAGCACACTTCGGCACTATATAAGTTTTGTTCCTTGAGGCATTCCCCACATTCAGTCAAAATTTCACGTCAATCGGTTCAGTTATAAAGAATTCGGAGGTAAAAACCCTGAGTAACTAGACTATATATCTAGGTTAAGCTGATAACATGAAACTTATTGTGAATTTTTTTATCTCTTTATGGATAGATAAGTATTGAAATTAAGCGTGATATAATATCCAATAAATTATAAGAAATGAACATGTTCAAGAGTCCAGGGCATTTATTGCCTGTATGTTAACGAAATTGTGACAAATAATACGTCGGTTATAGGACATTAGGGTTATGTTAGTTTGACTTTGTTTACGTCTGAGATTTAAAACCATTTTAAAACTTATTTACGGAAGATAAGGCTTACGTTTGGGTTTATCCCTGCTGGCAACTCGGTGAGGCTGCCGTAGCGGCAATCGGTTATCAAATTGTCGCATTGACACAAATCCGGGCACATCCCTGATACTAATTCTACAGCGTACGACACACGCAAAACCGGTATCACGTATAGAATGTGCCACCACATCATTGCCTGGAACTGCACTCAGATAAATCCCGATTTGGGCCCAGTTTGTTGCATTTTAGGCTGTTCGACACTCGTGATCTGTGAATTTTCGTACGAATTTCTTCCCTATTCTGTTGTTCGGCTTTCTCATAGCTAGTACACCTCATAGCTCAGAGTCTGAACTGAGTCAACAAGATTATTCCAAGATAACTGAACAGGTTAATGATAATAACTGATAAGGAGAGACACAGGCATGTATACACAAATAATTTCGTGTTATCTTTAAAATAATTCATTATAACTGGCTGTTACTGCTGCAATTTTATTTATTTCTTAACCGTGTTTGATCTGAACTTCTGAACTTAATTCTTGCGCGTATCTTTGCCGTAAAAAATTAAAAATCGTACCAATGTCACGATACGCCCTTATTTTTCATTATTAGAGCCCGGACAGAGCTACACAACTACAGAATCAATCAGATCGCACGACCTTCAAGCTCATATCAAGGTCACGAGAATTTTTTTAAGCGGGGTCCCATAATTTTGACCCAGGAAATGGAGAGAGCGGAAAATTTTACGTTCGGATGTGATCTTGAAATGACCAGGAAGGTCAAGATCAAGGTCAAATATCAAAAAGCCCCAAAGTGGCCCAGCGGTATCGGAATGGCAGAATAACCCGCCAGGAAAAATGTTCTCCACGATAGTTCTAGGATTATTGTAGTCTAGTGACCTTGAATTTGACCTGGGCCATGACCTTCAAGGTGGTATCAAGGTCACGAGAATTTTAAATGGGACCCCATAATTCTGGCCCTGGAAATGGAGAGCGGAAAATTTTACCTTCGGATATGACCTTGAAATGACCGTGAAGGTCAAGATCAAGGTCAAATATCAAAAAGTTCTAAAGAGGCCCAACAGTACCGAAATGGTAGAATAACCCGCCAGGAGAAATGTTCTCCACAATAGTTCCGGTGACCTTGGATTTGACCTCCCTGACCTCAAATTCCTTATAGTTGATCTGAACTTCTGAACTTAGTTCTTGAGCATGTCTTTGTCGTAAAAAATTTTTGTCAAGATACGCATTTATTTTTCATTATTAGAGCCCGGGCAGAGCTACACAACTACAGAATCAATCCCTAGGTAGCGGACGACGACATCTGGTATACTTTTAATGCATTAAAGACATTTACGTAAAATGCGTGCCGTGTTTCATAAATTTTAACAAGTAATAAAATCACACACTGCATTAAGAATATTCAAGGGGTAGGGCTATCCGATGGTGACCTTGAATTTGACTTACCTTCAAGGTCATATCAAGATCACATGAATTTTTTTACGCGGGACCCCATAATTTTGACCCCGGAAATTGAGAGAGCTGACAATTTTACTTTCGGATGTGACCTTGAAATTACCACGAAGGTCAAGGTCAAGGTCAAATATCAAAAAGTCGCAAAGTGACCCAACAGCACCTGAATGGCAGGATAACCCGTCAGGAAAAATGTTCTCCACAATAGTTCTAGGATTATTGATGGACACTAAACCGGTGACCTTTGATTTGACCTCCGCCCTGACCTCAACAAGGTCAAGTACGGCCACGGCGTTCAAAGCTCCGCTAATGTTGAATCTTGAACCAATTTTACAAACATTTTCTTCTATTTGATATGGTCTTCTTGCAACAGTATTATTTTCTCCTGACAAAAGTTGGGCTCTTTTTTGATCAGTTGTCCTTCGTAAGCGACAAAAATAATTATTTTCCATCCAAGCTTATGTGGAAAAAGAAGCGATGTTCTATTATTCTGTAGGCCGCATACGATTTATTTGTTTTAATTGATAATAACTACCATATTGTATGTTCTACATTCTTATTTGTCAATTTTCTCTAAATTTACCAGATATGATGGCATACTTTTCATTATGTATTGTTTCGATCTAAATCCACTGAATCGTTTGGCATTAAAAAGTATTTTCGTAAATGGACGTTAAAGGAGCTTATTTTTTTCTAAAAATACAGGTTACCAGAACTTTGTCTTATCCATAATGCACGCCAGAGCAATAAAAACAACTTCGGTAAGTACGGTGGGTGTTCCACGATTAATAATATATTTTTTGCAGTATCAGTATCATTACGGATAATACGGCGTGGCCCGATTGCACGAAAGGTTCATTTTTAAATCCGAACCACGACAAAATTAATTAAACCTAATTCGCTATTGATATTTATTAAAGTTTTTGTTGTGTTAGGTATATACATATTCACTTCAGAATGATTCAATTCGGACAGAAACTAGTTTAATGCTATGTTTAACTCTGAACTTGAGCTGCAGTTACTTATATTTTTTTTAGACTTGGACTCGCTGTAAAATCGTAAGTTTTCAACTTTCTCTCTCGATTATTGGCTCAGGAATATGGCAATAAATTTACTGAACAAGTAGAATATACACTCCGTACAGTCGCTGACAAAACTAATACGTACGCTATTATTGCAATTGCGCCGAACATAAAAAGATAATTACAGAATGTGTTATTAATTTCGTTGTTTGCTATGTATATAGAGAAGAAATTATAAATATTAAAATACTTATTTTTATGTCACCTTGAATCCTGTTATATAAAATGTCTAAATTCGACATGTATTAATAATATAATTTTAGCTATATTAGACCGCTAGACTAAATTGTTTTTTGCTGTAGTAGATACTATTCGTAACATCCACGCGTTAGATATAATGGAGTATATTGAGTTTACTCAGCTTACTGTACTTACTGTATCTACAGGTGTGCACCTAGTTACCTTGGGTGATACTTTATCGATAAATTACATCTGTTCTAGTCATTAAGGTGTCTTTGTTAGTGACCTGATTCAAAACGTCGTACGATGATTCAATGTTATTTATCCAATAAAAACTTAAAGACGTATGTATATTTGTGCGCTTGCATATACGGGGTCTGTTCAGAAAAAAACGAACTTTTTGAATTACGCACCATGGGCCTCTGACTGAAAAATTGAACATTGAAAATTTGTTTCTCGTTTGATGACCGAACAACAGAAAGAGAATCGTGTGGACGTTTGTTCCCAGATACAGGTCTGGTCGAACTAAATGTGGAGGTGGTAGAAATGTTTACGTCCAGTTGAAGAATGGGTGCGGGGGCAAACGGCGTATAACACAGCCGCACTGGGCGACTGGGCAATAAATCTCAGCTATTGACAAGTGGTTGACAAATTGCCTAGCAGTGCAGTGCAGCAATGCGGAATTTGGTGTTATTCAGGTAATTTTGATTTATTATAGGCACCTTCATTTTGTTCACTAATATTATTACAACATGGCCTTTTGAAACGGAACAAAACGAAATTTTCCAGTTTAATTAATTTATTCGAAAATACGAGAATTATTATAGAACGTACGACATTAATACTTTTGTGGTATTTAGATTGCGGTGATTTTTGTTGGTCCACGAGGTAGCTGGCATACTCTTCGTAAAATAATTGAGACCTATACGTTGGTATATTCCAGGCTATTTGCAGTATTTCAGTATCAGCAAATTTAAATTCCGCAAATCCCATATTGACCAAGCAGCTAAGTCTCGGACCTTTCCTTAATGCTGGAATCATTCAGTCAGCCAGATAATACAAAAATTCAATTTTCATTACTTGGCTCGATCCAATATTTTACATTTCGATGTCGGTTAGCTTATAAATGATAACCGTGTTGTAACCATTGATTCCGTTCTCTCCTGATATACAGGGTCTGTACAACCCTTCACCAGGCTGAAGATAAGTCGATTTAGTTAAACTTGCCTTAGTCCAAAAACTGATAATAACGGGTGTCAGTTAAAGCAATAAATAATGTTTTCTTTAATGTTAATTTAACAGTCTATCATTGTAACACAATCTAAACGATCTAAAAATCTAAAAAATAACTAATTATTTTATTTTTTCAGCCACGATAATTGAATAACTCCAAATATTTCGAATTTTCACCACCAAGAACGGCGGTGACAACATTTTTAACATTAAGGCGATGTTTCGCATTGTATTAGCTATGTCCTCTCCAAATTTGGTTTAGTGCAACTCTCGGTTTCGAGAATACAATACCTATGTACGTTTTCAGCCACGAAAATAGAATAATTCCAAAAATTTCGAATTTTCACCCCCAAGAACGGCGGTGACAACATTTTTAACATTAAGGCGATGTTTCGCATTGCATTAGCTATGTCCTCTCCAATTTTGGTTTAGTGCAACTCTCTCGGTTTCGAGAATACAATACCTATGTACGTTTTCAGCCACGAAATTTGAATAATTCCAAATATTTCTAATTTTCATCACCAAGAACGGCTGCGACAAACATTAAGGCGATGTTTCGCCTTGTATTAGCTATGTCCTGTCCAAACACGAAATTAGCTCAAAGTAGCCGAAAGATGTTAAAGAAAATGTTATTTATTTTTTCAACTTTGATGACACACTGTAGCTTCGTTATTATCAATTTTTGGACCAAGGCAAGTTTAGTTAAATTTAGTTAGTAGAGCGTTGTACAGACCTTTTAGACACACCCTGTATTGAAGTTAATTTTAAGGTATCCGATTTTCAACGTTTCTGAATACCAACATGTACATGTACAGGGTGTTTCCGGAATGAGTGCGTTCGTTAAAAGGTGGTAGAGGGCGTGAATAAAAAATTGTCAAATCAAATAAACAGAAAATTTTGAAACCGGCCCTTCTTCAAAACGCTTTTTTTAAGTCTATCGGTGAGAAAGTGTAGGAACATCGCTAGGACTATAATTGATTAAAAAAATAAACTAATCATAAATCGATATTAGGTAGTTTTATAAAAATTGCTAGAAATTATTTCCATGGGCTAATAAGCATGCCTGAAAGCGACGATAAAATCACTTCGCATGTGTGTCGGGCGATACATGGTCGTTCTAAGTTTCGCGTAATAATTCTTGATTAATTTTGTGGAACAAATGACACCTTAATGCACATGGATTTTATAGTGAATTTAAAAGTGAGTTTTAGTAGAGCTCTAAAATTTCCTGGAATATTGAAAAAATTCGGAAAAATTTAACTTTTGCTAAGGCCAAGGTTGTAGTGGGTTCTAAGACTTCTAAATATATAAATATTTTAAAAATATTGTATAAAAAACAACCTTTAGAAATTATTGTCACCCTGTTTTTTTTT